TCATATATTTAATAGTGAACGGTAGGTGATGGTTAAAGGAACAGGCCGGTTTTATGTACCACGATTTTGGGAACGCTTTTCACGATTGGAACTGGATCAAGGACTGGGACTGGGATCCTTGAGTGAGAGGGGGACATAATCAATATGTAATGTAATGCAAAAAGCCGAGACGGGGTATGCTAAAGCTTTACAATATACAGCCTATAGAGTACTGACTTTTTTATTATCTTATTTGTAATTATTACACTCAGCCCTGGCAAACTAAATCCCGGGAAACGTCGGGTCGGGACATAATAAGTAAATATTACCTATATTATTATAGTAGTCAACTATGCTAAGACCGTAACAGATTATCGGAACAACAGACCCCATAAAAGTTAATGGGTTATGTTTCTTTTTGCTAAAAATATCTTAAAAATTAATTTATAGAAATGATTACTAATTTAACATAAATATTATATTGATAAAAAGAAAAACAATCTGAGTTACTATAAAACTTTTATTTCAAGTAAATGGTGTACAACAAATTAGATAGAATATGTTATTGGCCGCTGAAACAAATGTATAAATATATGCTACACATACAAATAAAAAAAATTCAGAAATACAAATGGAGTGTAAGAAGAACTTCATCGTTTTGTTACCAGTGATCTAGACTCACTTTTTCAGTCTAAGTTGTAAATTAAAAGAAAACTATTCTCCAAAGTAAACTTGCGTTCGCCACGTTCTTTGAGATGAGCATTTCATTTAAATGTGTAAAAATATGAGTACATTTCCTTCTCTCAGAGTTAAAATGATATTTTAACTCTGAAAAAGACTAAGGGCATTATTTACACTGAGAATTTGAGATTCGTAAACACTTAGATAGGGTCTCATGTAGAGCGCTTCAAGTGGTTGGTATCATTAAGCGAATGACACTCGAGTATAAGTTCTCAAGTTTGTACGCATGAATGTGTTAAAGCTTTCATGGATTGCAATACTATTAACTTGATCATCTTTGGATGTACTGATTTGTTTTTTAAAGTGGCTCTCGACCATTGTGTAGACACAGACCACAGTGAAACAATTCGAAAAACAATCTTCAATCAGTAAAAGTAGAAATTTAATTACAACTGTTCTTTAAAAGTTATTGGAGTCTACTAAACAAGTTCTTGTACAGGAGCCTAATATAATATTCATGTTATTATTATCATGACGATTAGTACGACTTCATAATGTATTGATAAGTTGTAAAGTTTTGCAAAAATCAATCTAAGCTATTTTTAAATGAATATGTATAGTCTGTTTGGACGCAGCAAGGAACACATGTCCGCCTGGAATGACAAATAAGTATATTTTTATACATATTAGAGTGAACGCAAACGATCTGCTACAGCTGAAAATGACACAGACGATATTTACACAATATAATATGTAAATATTTGAAGTTTATAGTTCTTACGTATACATATTTCTAAGGGGGGAAAACAGTTGATTTATTCAAACAAAATGAATAATAAAACTTTTATTAAAACTTTATACATTTAGTAAAAAAAACAAAGCGAAATTGTTCTGCATCTTGAGCGAACCGCCAAAACTATAAAATAAGCAATCATTATTAGCTGTTCAATATCGAGCAACTGTAATGTGACAATTTTAAATTACAACCGTCTTTTGTTGTTCTAAGGTATTTTTTTTTAATAGTCTATTTCGAGTTGTAGTTTATTAAGTTAAAATTATAAATTTGGTCGAATAAAAAAACCAAGCACACTGTTAAGCCAGTGCGGTCCGAACTAATACAGCATAAACCAAGCTCAATTATAAATTAGTATAGTAGTTAAAGAGGGTGTTTACTTTGAAAGTGATTTAATCACTTTCGAAAGCTTCGATGCGAATCTGTATATAGTATAATCTACTAGTACAGTATAAATTAAGTTCTGTCTATACCAATACAGTATAAACTAATTGTAAGTACAGTTGAACCAGTCAGTGCTTGACTTGAGAGAAAAGTAGTAGAGGTACTCTAGATACCTTCACAAAAGTAGCGTCCCTAGCATTTTAATATCCCTCACATTACCACATTACCCACACCCCCTTTAACGGCCCCTAAGCAGCATCAATATAAAACCATTAAACAAAACAGAATAATATAATACAATAATTGTTTAAAAAAACACACTTTTTTGTATATATATATATATCATTAGGATGTCGGGAGTTCTGAGATTGGAGTAACAAATTTAAAGTCTTCTGGAAATAATAAAGCGGCATTGGCTAATATCGACTTATACGACTGTTTGATTGTCACTTCTGCTAGCCCTGCAGTATCACCAATTTCTTTTTGCGAACGTTTTTCGTCCGACGCCATAAATATAATATAAATATGCCGCTACCGAAATTGGTGAACGACCAGGAACAATGTCGTGTTCAACTGCCTTCTTGGCGATGTGCATAGCTGCTCTTTGAACCATAAAATCTGGACATGGGTGGTCCGTTGTTATCAAATCCAAACTCGTTTCCAATGCTTTTAAAATGAATTTGAACACACGTCCAATTTCTTTGTTGCTCGTTTGCTAACGCCGCAAATGTCTTTAAATGTACGCGCAACACCTTGCTGTCGACACGCTACGTATAAACTCGCAGAAGCTATTGCGTCGTTCGGGCGACCTTTCAAGTTTTACCATCGTGTACTTGTTTAAATATAACATTGGCTCTGTCCACAATGTTACCAGGTAAGTTTATACGGTCTGCCATCAAACCGATTTCTCTACAGGCGTTCAACAAACGACGATCAGTTGAGCACACCATCCCTTTGTTCTTGTACTTCGTTCCGGCAAACTCGTCGAATGAAGCGTCTCCTCCAGACGGGCCGACTAATGTTGACAAGTCTGATCCGTTGAGCAATGGATTTTCTGCGGCTCCCACACGTGAAGGATCGGCGCCATTGCTGTTTTTGCCATTGCTGAATGTTCGCCATTCGGAACAGATCTGATCGCCGGCTCTGTAATCTTCAGTCAACGGAGCGTCGCGGTGGTATTGGCATTGTACTGAAACAAAAATTTAAACATATAGTCTTAATGTCCAACAATATTTAGTCGAGTAATAATTTATACCCATTTTTTACTTACCCGAGTTTTTCGACGAAATTTATCTTCAAAGTGTTCGTTTTGCGTTTTAAGTATTGATTCCGCACAAACAACTTAATTAAAATCCCAAACGTTGGAAAAAAAAAAAATCGGAAAATGTATTTTACAAACGGTTACTATGCGTTTTTGGAACGTATAAACGAAATTATAACAAAAGGCGGCTTCAGTATTAAAAATACCCGTAGAAACATTTTAAGAATTACTATTAACCATTTATGCTCTCCATTGTGGGATACCACTGTATACGGATGTTATTACATTTGTATACAAACTACGAATGCTCTTACGATGTTCATACGCTACATGTCTTATTACCACTAAAATTCAAATTATTGATAATGTGAGATTATTTTTTATTGATTTAATTATATTATTTTCAAGGTTTACATAAAAGTTTTAATGTTTTAAAAATGATTAACAGATAACAAAGTATAGATTAGAACATTTAATGGACACAGTTATTAACTTAAAGCCGATTGATTTAAGCTTTTGTGCCGATTACAATGGAAAACTTACTATTGGTAAATTAGCATCATTTATTAACCAGTACAGTTCAAACCAAGCACAGTGTAAACCATTACAGTAAAAAATTACTTTATAAAACTAAGACCTTCTCAGCTATCGCATTGAAGCTAAAAAGTGACATAAACTTGTGCTATCCTACCACCAGACATCATTTTTTGACCCGGCAAAGAGTCAATTGCATATGATTTCAGATCAATAGTAATATTTGCAATGGAATTTATTCAGTTAAAGAATTAACTATATTGGTAACGAGCAAAAAAATTAAAAGAAAAATCCATTTCGCCAAAATCTAAAGTTTTGTCGATAATGCTCTTCACTTAATCACTTATCAGCTTAGGTGTAAAAAAATGCTAAACTTACACATCGAGAAAAAAATGCTAAACTTACACATTTTTCAACTTAAAATTACAGCAAACTATAATTGTTTGAAAACTTCATGCCTTACGGATAAATCTCTCACGCTTCTTAAAGTGACCCGATCTCGACCAAATTTTTTTTTTATTTTGGAAAAAAAAATACTTTCACAGTAAAACATTTTAATCGTGTGTCTTGACAAACGTTTTATAATAGTTTTTCTTTTAATCTTACATTTTTGTGATATTTCCCAAATAAATCAAGGAGGGGTTGCGATCAAATATGTTACGCACCCCATTCCATTCCATTATTATGCGCATCACTTTTCCTATTTCCTTACACGCCAAGTTACATAAGACAGCGACATAAGAAGTTATATTAAAAAAAAAAAAAGTTTCAGTCTACATACATGCTGGCGCTCCTGAATAGTGATAGTTATTATACGTTTAGAGTAGACGCGCTACTTTCGTGATGCTATTTTGTGTCACACTTTCGTGACATTTTCGAGCTGGGAGGCCAACGCTGAAAAAATTCAAACAATCTGTAGTGTCGAATTTTTTTATGTCGAATTTATTTTCAATAGTTCTTACTGTTTGACACGGTTTGGCACCGAAACGGTTTGTTTTGAAAGTGATTTTATCACCATCACTTTCAGTTCCAATATTGTATGCAAGACCCGTGACCTATCCGTGCCCATACCGATGTGTCGGTTTTTATGCCACGTCCGCTCTATTGGGCCACGACCCGGCCACGGTCCCGTGTGGCCGACGACGGTTTTTTGGCACGGAACCGACGGCCGGTGCCGGTTCCGTGCCGACGCGGACGGCACGAGGATATCGTGGCCGGCGACCGCCACGCTCCGCACGGGCCCCGCCGCCGCCGCCCACGCTTCGCCCGCGATTCGGCCGGCATAATAATTTATCGCGGCACACGCACACGCACGCCAAGCACATCCCGCCGCCAACGGTCGCCGCTGCCGCCGCACTAGTAGTATCACTCCGTTTGTCGCTTGTACTGGTACGTTCCACCGTCGCCGCCGCTGATTCGCCGCCCGTCGTCGTCTCCATAGCCGCCGCCGCCGCCGCCGCCAAAAAGCCGTTATCGTTTTTTTTTGTATTTAAAAAAAACGGTACTCGAGTAAAAAAAAAAAAAAAAACAGTTTTTTCTTCGCCGAACAACAATATTATTATCGTTACCACCGGTCAGCGTGCGGTATAAGACATTTATAAAAAAAAAAAAAAACATTATCACTGTTATCAACCCGAACGCGTACTGCTTCTTCGCGGTCACCCGCCGGTAAAAACCGCCCGGGGTTTTCCCGCCACAACCGGTTACACGTCTGTTCTTCCACGACGACCTTGCGTTCTCTCATTGTCTCAACGGCGGCCGACGGCTCAAGACGAACAGGTGTAATCAGCTCAGCCAAAGGTACACACACACACACAAATACAAATTTTACTAGGATTTTATTTGCATGCATACAAATTTTTCGAATTTTATTCAAAATCTGATCGGTACATAGACAAATGTTGTCAACATTTTTATTTAAAAATACATCCGGTGTACTCTGAATGTTTTTCTTTAAGTTGTCAAAATTCCAAAATTTTACAGCTGAAAAAAATTACTGGTTTTAAATCTAAAATAACGGACGCGTGGCGTCCAACTGAGTTTATTTTCATAATTATGCATGCTTTTCAACAAAAAAAAAAAAATGCCGGACGGGTCACCCGGTATGTCATATTACAAAATTATAAAAAAATTCCGCACAATTTTCACCTATGTAACGCCGCAATCAAGAGCGTCACTAGAGAGAGGGTGAAATATGCCAACTAAAACCGTATTTGGACTAAGTTTACCCCCCACCCACCCCCGGGTTAGGTTATTATAGTAATTTGTATTAAAATTGTTATTCAAAAGCTGTAGACCCCCAAACTCCCCACATTTCTTATTGTTACTTTGATTACTTATGCGATTGTTTTTTGAATCGAACCATTTACAATAAACACATTTTCATAAAACTAATTTTAACAATGAAGCGTTGAAGAAAAAAATGTAATGTAATGTTTTTTGCCGAAATCGAATTTAATGAAATTTGGATGTTTCTTGAAATTGTCTAATAGTTCAAAATATTATTACATACAAATTGTGTCGCATCTTACTGATATTGTCATCATCCGATCGACTTTTGACACTTTAACCATTGAAGTCCTAATTGAGAGGGTGACAGCCTCTATTGTGACCGGGAGGTGCCCCCGGCCTAAAAATTAAAAATTGTTTTTAACAAATATAAAACACTAAACAGACACATAGCTGCAGATAAAACTGTAAATGCTCAAAGGTCGATGATCTTAAAGCTATGGTTTCTGCCATCTGGTCTCAGAAATATAAGCTGTGTATTTTTTATGACATAATACAAATGTAAAAAAAAAAAATGTTTATTTTAAATATGGACTTTTTCGCTACTGTAATAATACACAATATGATGCTGTAGGCGTAACAGCAATATATGTCCAAACTCGCACACAATAAGGTGCACTCTTAAGGGTAATATGTATTATTTTTTATAAAAAGTATTCTCATTAAAAGTTGTCACGCACATATTACCCGTGTGCAAGATCCCCGTGTAAAATTTAAACTTCAAAAGTTATTAGTCAAAAGTAAAAGTTACAAACCGTGACATTTGCCCCTTTGTCGCGTTTCCTGAGCTTGCAAAATATAAAATTTGAATTCAAAGGGGACACGATATTATTATTATTGTTATTATGATATTCTCGATTTCGTTGGCCTTATATGGAAGTGGAAAAAACTAAAAACTTTGAATGAATCGACAATTAAGCGTCCGTTAACCGTTTTGTAATGTTAATTTGGGACGTGCCATTTTTTCCCCTCTCACATTCCGATAATTTATAATTATTGTGGTGTAATAATTATGATAAAAAAACGTGGCGACGAGAAGAATACTAATTATCAACGACTAATGTTCTATAATATTTTTTACTCCATCGGTCGCCTTTATCTAAGATGCATAATATTTTACATTAGTAGAAATAATACAGATATTACCTGCTATGTAATACCCACGACCTATTATCATAATCGACTCGAGTAAACGGAAGTAACTAGAAAAGCTGATAAAACTAACTTAACCCGACACAAACGAGAAACACCATTGTTGGACACTGTCGTCTAACAATATAAACGGTTAATAGATACTAAATTGCCAAATTTTGATTCTAGCACTTCATATGAAGTTGTTATTACAATGTTTTGTGATATCACAATACTCCTTATTCGAATTGTGCGCTTAGGCTTGATATTCAACGATCTCCGGTCTTGAAAATCTTTTTCGAATAGTACTTGTGAGAAATAAATTGTGATATCTATCGATCGATAAAGACACTAGAGATCTTAGGACCGCGTACAGTGCGATGATATAACATGTATACAAATATAGGCATCAAGATGTATACAATGTTAGCCTACACATATTATACGTTATTATAATAACACAAAGATCATCGGTTCTTATCATAATAACGCTCTCTTATTCATAATGTATATTGTTTTTATTTTTTTATTAGTGATATTAAGAATGACGGTTGTACGCATATGGACTATATAGTGTACAATATTACAAGAAAAACGGCTACAACGCATATTGATAATATGTATAGCTCCGTGTGGCAATTAAAAACGATAGTAACACATATAAAAAAAAAAAAAAAACATAATAAACAAACCGACCGGTTCAGATAAAAAACGATATTTATTTATTTTTTTATATGCCCATTATCAGTAGTATGGTTTTAAAATACATTTCAACGCTTGTAATGTCGATGACAATAAAATGAGACTGAAGATGCTAAATGTACCTTTGCTCGATAAAGGTATTAGTCAACCGCTGACCCGTTTCACGTATTTATACAAGTATTTTCTATACAGTATGATCAAGATGTTGGAAAAGAACATAATTTTATTTTCAAGTCTCCATTGTGAACGTTCGGCCGATTAGGTTTAATATAGAGTTTAAAAAACCGCTGCATTTTCTTAAAGTAGCACAAAACTGACGTTAAACCAAAATTTAAAATTGTTAAAACAAATATTTATGAATTGTGTTATTTATGAGCACTGCGGCTGAGTCATATCCGAGACATACTGTGTTGTATAATTTCTACATATTATATTTATATGTATGTAATATAATATACCTACAGTTCTAACATTGTGTGAAGGACACGTCTTCCTCGTCCCACATGCGAATGTACACACAGCAAAGCGTCGGTATTTTTATTCACCAGACGGTAAGGCCAGAGTTTAGCATAATGATATTATTATTATTGAGAATATCCGAACAGATGCAATTTTATCACCTACACCTATACAGGTACTGTGTGCAATTTTGTATTATAATATGCATAGAACTACTCCCATGGTATTTGCTAATTTTAATTTTTGCCAGACACACGGTTTTTTTTTGAAAAAAAAGAACAATTTTTGGCAAACGGTTTCGTTTAATAAAAAATATATATATATATATCATAATAAATAATAACGACCGGGTCGGTTAATCTATTAATATTTTTTAAGTGCGAATGCGAACGTCCGTGTAATAAAATATACAAATTCGACTGTACCCACATACTTAATAACATTACCGGAAAACGTTTTGAGATTTATTTTGAAATGCACCCTCTCCACTGTGTCTCGTTTTTTTACTATATAATTTAATTAATTTCTCTGGCGCATACACGGTACATTATAAGTGGTAACACTAGTACCGCGACCATGGTAGGTGTACACTGTTCACCCTTCGGTAATTCAACTCCAAATCGGGTTTTCCCATTATATACGACGGCTATAAATAATAATTTACCGACGGAGTAGATAACCCTTATAGAGTCTTACCAATTAATTTTCTCCTCTTACCAACCCTCTGCCCAATGCCATCGGCCGTTATCAATTGCTATAATTTGATACTATTCTAAATCATTATAATATTATCTGGTAAATTTCACCTTACCCCGGTAGTCATTGAGTTGTTACTTATTCGTGTGCGCCCTGGGAAGAATGCTGAACTCAAATTCGGAATCAAGTATAGGGTGCCTACCGAGCATAAGCGTGACTTGTGGCGTTAATTTCAAAAAATATCGTACAATTTAGGTACAATTGCGCATTTAGTATTTTTCTTAATCTTACAGTACAAAGGGGGGAAAAATGTTAAATGAATTATATATATATATATATATATATGGTATGTTATATTGCTCGGATCAACTTGTGACTCGACTAAGTCTTCACACTAAATCTCACACCCTATAATAAACCCGTGGCCGTTTCGCGTTCAACGAAATTAATCGTTATTAAAACAGAGCCGCGTCCGGTTATCTTTTCCTATTCCATACATAGAGTCAAGTAATATCCGGATTTTCAGAACTTTAAAAATGTTCTTCGAAATTGCAACAGTACCAGTTAAATATATTTTATTAAATACATAAAAAAAAAATAGTAAACCAAATAATTATTGAAAACCATAAATTATCCATCAAATTACCATCAATTATTTCATTGATATTTTAAACCATTTTTGGAAATGAAACCTAACAGTGTTCTTTTTTATAAAACCCGAGTAAGAACTAAAACCAAAATAACCAATTTTACCATTAGCGTGAAAAAGTAATTAAATTACTTTAATGTTACAAATTAATATATTGTAGTATATTATAGCTTGTTTTGGCAAACCAACAGACAGCACACAAAATCGAATATTTTATAATCATTTTTTTGCCAGAAAAGTAATGTCTTACAAAATGTTGTTGTTTAAACTTTAGACATTATATTATAAATATTTACAATAATGTAATAACACTTACAATTTTATGTTCTAAATAATTATAATGTTTATTAAACAATTTCTCGCAACAGAATAGTAAAACATACATTATATTTCTGTCGAAACAAAGACTATAAAATCGTTTGAAGACATTGAAAATAATTGGGTTCGGCTGAGGACATTTGGAAAACGGGTTTTTTAGGGAAAGCGATAGGGTTTTCCAGCTTTTGACCTCCTTAACAAAGGACCGACTACACATAGATGATTTGGGATTTGCTAAACGCAAGTACTTACTTAACCGGTCTGACGGTTTCGGTAAACAATGTAAAACCAAATACATTTTTCGAGCTTCGCGTTGGAGTTAAAAAAAAAAATATATATATATATATATATACAAGTAAAACTACTTAATTCAATTAGTACGGCTTCGCCCGTGCCGTTTTGTAGGTCTAACGATCCGGCCACTTCGGAGGGTTCTGCTTAATCATATTATTATTATTATTAATATAGATAGCGTTTGTTGTGTGTAGTGCGACAAGCGTTTTAAGAAAATGAAAAACGCGCGTTTGTCAGAGAGAGAGAGAGAGAGAACTAAACA